GGGCTGGGTCACACAAGTTCCTTATTTCCCTTTCTCAACAATTAGATAAATCACTTCCCCTCAGAGGTAATCATTATTTATTATTTAGAGGATTCTTCCAGACCTTTTCCTTTATTACATTTGTATACTGTAAGTAAATATACAAACACAGTCTATATTTTGCATACAATGAGTGATACTAAATTTCTTGCAACATGCTTTTTTGTCATGATGATATGTCCCAGAAAATTTTTTCTTTTTAGCATTTATGCGTCTATTTCATTATTATATATAGCCCATAGTATGGATGTATCATAACTATTACTATTTTTTCTCAGTATGAAATTATTGGATGATGATCATTTTCTCTCATTTTGTTAACAATATCATTTTAAATTGATTTTTCTTTTTTCTTTTCTTTCTTTCTTTTTTTTTTTTTTGGTATGGGGGATTGAACTCAGGGGCACTCAACCACTGAGTCACATCCCCAGCCCTATCTTGTATTTTATGTAGAGATAAGGTCTCACTGAATTGCTTAGCACCTCACTATTTGATCTTGCAATCCTTCTGCCTCAGCTTCCCAAGCCACTGGGATTATAGGCATGCATCACAGTGCCTGTCTTGTAAGCTGATTTTTGACTTCCATTGTGGTTTTTGGGATTTCAGCTCAATGGACAGGAAATCATCCAGGTTTTCTATTTTTAACATAGCCTCTTTTTCTTTGTGTTCCACAGTTTTCTCTTATATATGTAGTTATGATTTTATTTTTATTTGTCCTGCTTCAGAAAATTGTATATCTTAAATTTTAGATTAATACTATTGGAAAATTCTTGGCCATTATCTTTTCAAATAATTACTCTCCTCTCCTTCTGAAACATGAATTAGCAAGACAGATGTTAAAGCTATCTTCCAGGTCTCCTATTAAGTTGTTTATATTTACCATGTGTCTTCTCTCCCTAATTCTTCATTCTATATAATTTTGGGGTGTCTAACTTCCATTTTATGAATTTTTGTGTATCTATTCTGCTGTTAAATCTATCTGTTGAGCTTCAAATGTTAATTATATTTCTCATGTCTAGAAATTTTGTTTTCTCCCCAATATATCTTCTTGTTCTTTTTAAAAAATTTTAAATTTTTTTCTATTTTTAATTTTTCAAGGTTATGTTTTCTTTCTTTAGTCATAGTAGATGCTGCTGCTTTGGGGGCTTGTTTTTGCCATCTATTGTATCAACTGCCGCTTGTTCATGGTGATGGGTTTTCTTGGGCACTGTAAATTTTTATTGAGAAAAGCTTAGATACCTTGATATGTGTGTGTGTGTGTGTGTATGTAATTTCTTGAGACAGAATGAAGGTGAATTCCTGGGGCAATATTTATTTGCAGTGCATCTGAGGGCATTACCAATTTAGAATCATTTTAAATCAAATACTTGTTTTGAGATTTTTGAAAAACCTTATAAATTTTTAAATTTATTCTTTTTAAATTGACAAATAGAAAGTGTATTATTTATTATGTTCAACATGTTGTTTTGAAATACGTATTCATTGTGAAATGGTTGAGAATTTTTTGGATGAATTTAGGCAATAACCCCAGTGGCTTGGAAGGCTGAGGCAGGAAGATCCCAAGTTCAAAGCTGGCCTCAGCAACTTAGCGAGGCCCCAAGTAACTTAGTGAGACCCTGTCTCAAAATAGAAAACAAACAAACAAAAAAAGGGTTGGGGATGTAGCTCAGTGGTTAACTGCATCTGGGTTAAATCTCTAGAACTATCCTGTCAAAAAACAAAACAAAAAAATTAGGCAATAAATTGTTATGGAATGGCTTATGAATATAACCTATAGAATTTTTTTCCTGTTGTTTTTTTCTTCTGAGACTATAACCCCTTGAGGTTCTAGCTTTATGGAATGAGTATTTTCTATTAGTTTCCTCATTTTTTTGGTGGGCCTGGCATTCCTCACACTATGAAAATGAAAGAAATACGGACTCTAGCTCTGGTGACCCTAGGGCCAAAGCCAGTTTCTGTGCTTGCAGCTCTTCACCTCTCTGTAATGTTTCTTAATTACTTTGCAGCTCTTTTTGCCTTTAATGTGCTTTTAGTATCATTCTTAGCATTTTAGTTAACTTTATTGGGATAGTGGGTCTAGGAACCTAGCATGTTACCCTTCTGCAATCCATTCAACCATTTCTTTTCTACTAGAAATTTAATTTTTCCTTCAAAAATTTCTTGTTGTAAATTATGTTGCAATGAACATGTGTTTGTGCCCACAAATAAGTTTGCCTCTCAGGTAGATAACTATAGCTGGAAGTGCTGGGAGGAAGAGTAGGTGTATTTCAATTTTTATACAAAACGCATTACTAATGTTTCAGGCCCAAAGATGGCCTAAAAGGAGAGTGCTCTTTTTCATGAACTCTCAACAGCACTAGCTTTTCATACATTTGTATTTGTGCAAATATGATTGATAAAAATATATTTCTGAGTTGTTTTAATTTGGGGGTTTCTACTAATTAGTGAACTTTATTGTCCTTTAATCTCTTTCACATTTTTATTTCTGTTTCTGTGAAATGACTACTTATCTTCCTTATCCTATTTATTAAAAAATATGTTGACAAATTTCTAGAGTCATATGATTTGCCCAAACTGAATCAGGATGATATACATAAGTTAAACTGATCAATTTCAAGCAATGAAATAGAAGATGCCATCAGAAGCCTACCAACCAAGAAAAGCCCAGGACCAGGTGGATACACAGTTGAGGTCTACAAAACCTTCAAAGAAGAACTAATACCAATACTCTTCAAATTATTTCATGAACTAGGAAAAGAGGGAACACTTCTAAACTCATTCTGTGAGGCCAGTATCACCCTGATTCCAAAACCAAAAACACGTCAAAGAAAGAAAACTTCAGACCAATATCTCTAGTGAATATAGATGCAAGAATTCTCAATAAAATTCTGGCAAATCAAATACAAAAACATATCAAAAAGATAGTGTACCATGATCAAGTGGGGTTCATCCCAGGGATGAAAAGTTGGTTCAACATAGAAAATCAATAAATGTAATTTGTCACATGAATAGACTTAAAGATAAGAATCATATTATCATCTCAATAGATGCAGAAAAAACATTGGACAAAATACAGCATCCCTTCTTGTTCAAAACACAAGAAAAACTAGGGATAACAGGAACGTATCTCAACATAGTAAAAGCTATCTATGCTAAGCTCCAGGCCAACATCATTCTAAATGGAGAAAAATTGAAAGCATTCCCTCTAAAAACTGGAACAAGACAGGGATGCCCTCTTTCACCATTTCTATTTAACATAGTCTTTGAAACTCTAGCTAGAGCAATTAGACAGATGAAAGAAATTACGGATAGGAAAAGAAGAACTCAAGTTATCACTAGGTATATGATTCTATACTTAGAAGATCCAAAAAAATTCCATCAGAAAGCTTCTAGAACTAATAAATGAATTCAGAAAAGTAGCAGGATATAAAATCAATACCCATAAATCAAAGGCATTTCTGTACATCAGTGACAAATCCTCTGAAAGAGAAACTAGGAAAACTACCCCATTTACATTAGCTTCGAAAAAAAAATTACTTGAGAGTCACAAAAGAGGTGAAAGACCTCTACAATGAACATTACAGAATGCCAAAGAAAGAAATTAAAGAGGACCTTAGAATATGGAAAGATCTTCCTTGTTCTTGGATAGACAGAATTAATATTGTTAAAAATGACCATACTACCAAAAGCATTGTACAGATTTAATGTAATACCAATCAAAACCCCAATGGCATTCGTCATAGAAATAGAAAAAGCAGTCATGAATTTCATCTGGAAAAATAAGAGTCAAAGAATAGCTAAGGCAATTCTTAGCAAGAAGAGTGAAGCAGGTGGCATCACTATACTAGACCATAAACTATACTACAGAGCAATCATAACAAAAACAGCATGATATTGGCACCAAAATAACTTGTAGACCAATGGTACAGATATAGAGGACCCAGAGACAAACCCACATAATTACAGTTATCTTATATTAGACAAAGGCGCCAAAAATATAGATTGGAGAAAAGATAGCCTCTTCAATGAATGAATAATGTTGGAAAAACTGGAAACTAAGCCCTTATCTTTTACCATGCACAAAATTCAACTCAAAGTGGATCAAGAACCTAGAAGTAAACCAGAGACCCTGCACCTAATAGAAGAAAAAGTAGGCCCAAATCTTCATCATGTCAGATTAGGTCCTGACTTTCTTAATAAGAATAATTAAAATAATTAAATAATAATTAAAATAAAAAATCACTAAATGGGATGGATTCAAATTAACAAGCTTCTTCTTAGCAAAAGAAACAATTAATGAAGTGAAGAGAGAGCCTACAGAATGGGAGCACATTTTGACCACATGCACATCAGATAGAGTACTGATCAATAGGCTCTATAAAGAACTCAAAAATCTTAACACCACAAAAACCAAATAACCCAATCAATAAATGGGCCAAGAAATGAACTGAAACTTCACAGAAGAGGATATACAATTAATCAACAAATATATGAAAAAATGTCCAACATCTCTAGCAATTAGAGAAATGCAAATAAAAACTAAGATTTCATCTCACTTCAGTCAGAATGGCAGCTGTTAGTAATACTGGGAATATTTTTAATATAAGGTTTCTTAGAGATTTCTGATAGCTTTTCCATGTTAAGTTAGTTTGCTTCTAGTCTCAGTTTACTAATTTTTTTTAATCCCAAATTGTGATAGGAGATTATTTTATCCAATGTATTATTGTTTGGATGTGAGGTGTTCCCCCAAAAGCTCATGTGTGAGACAATGCAAGAAGGTCAGAGGAGAAATGATTGGGCTGTGAGTGTCTTAATCCTATCAGTAAATTAATCCCATGATAGAGATTAACTGAGTGGTAACTGAAGTGATAGGGGTGTGGATAAAGGAAGTGGGATTTGGGACATGTCTTTGGGGTATATATTTGTACCTAGGGAGTGAATTTTTTTCTTTGCTGCTTCAGGATTATCATAATCTGAGCTGCTTCCCTCCCTCTGCCACACTCTCCTGCCATGATGTACAGCCCCAAGGAATGGAGCCAGCCTTCTATGGGCTAAGACCTCTGACACCGTGAGCCCTCAAATAACTTTTTCTCTTCTACAATTTTTCTGGTTGGGTCATTTTAGTCACAGCAGTGAGAAAAGCTGACTAAAACATCATATTCTATGGGACTTGTGGTTTTTATGTCTTCTTCTTCTGTAACTTGATAATGTGTTGAAATAAATTCACAGATATCATAATACTGAGACATTCTTGCATAATTGGATAAACTCACTATGTGTATTTAAAAATTTTATTACTGTATTCCATTTGCTGCTATTTATTTGTGACTTTGTATTTATTTTTCTAAAATTGGTCAATAGTTTCCTTTATTTATTTTATCTGTTTTCATATTGTGTCAGGGAGATTGATGGCACTTCCTGTTGAGTTGAACAGCTGCCCATCCTCCCCCTATTGTATTAATTTAAAAGACAGAATTTCTGTGCTTAGTAGTACTTTCCATTAGAATCATCTGAGCATACTACCATTTCAGGATAAATCTCTGAACATCTAAAATGAATATTAAATGATTATGGGTCCATTACATTTTTCCTATTTCTTGAATGATATGTAGTCAAAGAAAAGCATGAAATTTCAGGTGAATTTTCAAATTTGATGGTAAAATATTGCATAAATTCTCATATTTTAAAGGGTCTGTTTTATATTCACAGCCATGTTCTTATTGTTATTATTTCATTTTTTTCTTAACCAGACTTACCTAAATTTATTTTACTGATCTCCCTAAAGAACCAAATTTTAGTTTTAAGTCTGCTTTTTTTTAAGTTTGTATTCTAATACATTAATGTCTGTCTTTTGGTCATAAATTAATTCTTTTTTTTAGATTCTAGAATTAAAAACAACTAATATTTAATTCTTTTTTTCCTAATAAACTCATGAGATTATGTATTTTTTCTTTCTTCCCTGTAGGGAGAAGTACACTGATGTTCACAGAGTGAAGTCATCTAATGAACGCCTTTCCCAGAATGCATCCCTGTCATTGAGTGACATGTTTACTTATTTCCTGCAGTTTTCTCTATTATGGTAGAATATACAACATAAAATTTTTCATATTAACCATTTTAAGTGCACAGATTGGTGGCATTAAATACATTCAGAATATTGTTCAACCCTTGTAACCATTCATCTCCATAATGCTTTACATCTTGTAAAACTACAGCTCTGTACTCTAAACAATAACTTTCCACCATCCCTGGAAGCCACCATGTACCCTCTATTGCTATGATTTTTGACTACTGTAAGTATTCATACATGCAGAATCATTTGTCTTTTAGTTATTGGCTTATTTCACTTAGTAAGATGTCCTGGTAGTTCATCAAAAGATACCACATTGTAGCATTTTGCAGCTTTCCCATTTCTTTTAACACTGAATAAATTCTGGTATATGAATATACCACATTTTGCTTAGTCATTCACCCACTAATAAATATTTGGGTTGCTTTCCCCTTTTGGCTATTGTGAGTCTTCTGCTGCCCAAATACGCTTTTGAATTCTTCTAGTGAATTTTTCATTTCAATTATTTATTTTTCTGTTCTAGAATTTCTTTTTGATTTTTTAAAGTTTTCTATCTCTTTATGAATATTTCCATTTTTTATACGTAATTTCTTTATTGTCTCTACATCTTCTTTTAGTTCTCTGTGTATCTTTAAGACAGTTGTTTTAAAGTCTTGGTCTAGATCTGTTTTGCTCAAGGACTTTACATTGATTTATTTTATTCCTTCAAATGGTTTATACTTTCTTGTTTCTTTATATATCTTGTGATTTTTTTTTTTGGAAACTGGACATTTGAATCTAATAATAGGCTAACTTTGGAAATCAGGTTCTTCTCTTTCCTAGGGTTTCCTGTTTCTTTGTGGTCATTTTTGTTTTATTGACCAAGATATTGATGGCTCTATGCCAGGGTTCATCATAAGGGGTAAACTTAGTTTTCAGGGTTTTTTTTCCTGTGTCTGTACCTTTCCCTGAGCATGTGTGGTATGCTTCCTAATTCTCCCTGCATGTGCAGTTGTTTTTGTATGTCCTAATGTTTAGGTGGAGAGACTCTTCCATTGTTCCAGAATCCTCTCTTTGCATTATTTTTCTTACTACTATGGCCAAATCCCTTAGCATCCAATGTGTAGTATAATTATTTCTTTATAAAGAGTCTGTAATTATACCATTAATTAAATAAATGGTTTTTGAAGAGTACTTTTAAATTTCCAAGTAATTCAGTTTTTGTTGTGTTTATGTGTTTTTTTTTTGGTAGGTGATTATTTTATTTTCCTATTAATGCTGTAATAAGTTACCACATTAACAACTTGAATCAACATGGATTTCTCCCTCCTATGGCTCCAGAGGTGAGATGTATGGAGTTAGTGTCACTGACCTAAGGTTGAAGTACTGGCAATGGCAGTTCCTTTTGAAGGCTCTGAGAGGAGCATGTGTTGTCCCTTTCATCTTCTAGTGGCTCTGCATTCTTTGGCTTGTGGCCTCTTTCTTCATCCTCAAAGCACATCCCTTTAGCCATTGCTTTTGTCACCACACTGCCTTCCCATCTGTGGTATTCTGTCGCTCTCTCTGTTTCTCTCTTGTGATTACATGCTTGGTCCCCCTGACCCCTGAGAATTCCAGGGCACTCTCCCCCTCTCAAGATTATTAACTCAGTCACATCTGCAAAGTCCTTCTAGCCATATAAAGTAACATTCACAGGTTATGGACATTAGGATGTGGCCAATTTAGGGGGCCATTATTCAGGCTGCCTCAGAGATGCTTTTCTCCCACAGGGGGTTTATAATATGTTTTACTTATGACTTAGTGAATTTGTTGATGTTTTCATGGAAAAATTAAGATTTAAAAATTTTTGAAGAAAAACAAGAAAATAACTTGTAACTTAAACTTCTAAAGATAATAAGAACGTGTACTAAAATTGGTGAGAACATGTTGTGTAGGGAAGATAGGAAAAAAGTTGGCATCTTAGAAAAAATATGAATCAGTATAGATTTATTTATTTATTTATTTTTGAATCAGTATAGATTTATATAAAATCAGACACAAGATTTAATAGCAGTCAAATTAAACTGCAACATTGGCGTGAGTCTGAAGGTTAAAAAGGCTTCCACCATGTCACTAATATAGCCTGCGTAGTCTTTGGTGTAACAGTCAGTAATAAAACAAAACCCTGGAATAGACAGAGGATGCTAATTGTGACTATTTTTCAGCAGTATGGGACAAGGGATCTCTGCCCTATTTTACAATACATTTAAGACAGGAGAAGAATATTTTCAAGGTCCTACTTGAAGCTTTTTTGTTTGGGACTCTTGAGGGCTTGCTGTTTTGTTATGTGCCTTTGTATTAGAAGAAAGTTATAATGGGATTTTGCCATGGCCAGAGTTCATAATGGATTTCCCCCTGGGTGATGGTTTTAAGTAAATTTCACCATGGGTCTATAATCTGCTTGTTGGAATTATAACCTTGAAAATTCCCTGCAGGGTTTGGCATTAAGCTCCTGGCATTCCTTGTGTATTCTACCCTAAGCACTGTACAAGCAATTTTAGCTCTGGGTCCTGGAACAGTTTGCATAATCGGTATTTTTAGTGTTTTGGCAGAGAGCTGAAATCAATGTTTGCAGTATCTAAATATCACTTAAGCATTACATATAGTGAATAAAGAGTTGTGAGACTTTTTGACTAGCCTGTCTCTTGGTGTTTGAAATTTATCTTATTGCATGAGTCAAAGAATCAAAGTATAACATATCAGAGATAGCAGAATCCTGAAAACTGGTCAGCTGTAACATATGTACCCCTTATTTAAGTTAAGTTCTCATTTTTTTTTTGCTTACCAGTTGTGGTCAAATTAATGTTTTAATTTTGCTTGAATTAGCTATATCAGAGAATTGTAGAAGATAATCAAAACCCTGTCTTAGTGTACATCGCAGAAAATTCCTCTAGAGAGGTAGCCTTTGTCCATGTACATCTGAAAAGAATCTTCATTTTGCTTTCCCATATTAAGTTAGTTTGGTTGAAAATAGGATTCCTAGATTTGACACAATTTTCTGTTAGGAAGTTTAGTACGCTTCTCTTTTGACTTTAGCCATCCAATGCTACCGACGAGAAATTTTATTGACATGCTTGGCCATGAGTCTTTGTTCATGTCTCAGACACTTGGAAAACTTCTTTTACAATTTTGGGATATTGTCTTCTGTTCCTTAGAAAAAATACTTCCCATTCCATTTAACCTTTTAAAAAATCACTAGTAATATTCGACTTCATGAAGTAGTTTTCCATGTCTCTTACATTTTCCCCTTATGTTTTTCATTCTTGATCTTCTTGTCCTAGTTATGGATGATTTCCTTCATCTTATTTTTCAGAACAGTAAATTAGTCTCTTCTCAAATTGTTTCATTAAATTCCCCCCCCCATAGAGATTTTCTCTTGGGGGTGATACTTTGGCTGCAGATGGAAGAATGGATAGGAGGTCATATCAGTAGGGAACTTTTTCAGTACCATGAGTGAAAGATGATGGTGACTTGTACTGGAAAGTGGAGAGAAGTAGATGGATTAGAGAAAAGAAGGAATTAGAATAGATAGGATGGGGGATTGGATTTAGCATTGAAGATAGATAAGGAAGCAGGAATGTGGCTTAGGTTTAGATTTAGCAGTTGCATGGCTGACATACCATTTGGGTATGTAGAGATCTCAGGAGTAGGAGCAGCTTTAGGGCAGATAATGAGCTCATGTTTAAATATGTTGAGTTTTAAGCACACCTTAGTCATATGGTTGAAGATATCTAGCAGATAGCTAGATCTATGGGTTTGTAATTTAGCAAAGATATCTGACATGGAGGGATGACATATGGATTTAGTAGCATATGGAAATTGAAGCCATGGTGCTAATATTACTTGGGGGAAATGAGTAGGATGGGAAGCAATGCTTAAGGTACAGGCAGAGGAAGAGGGATCTACACAGAGGGGAAGAAAATTATAT